TTGGAATACAGCTTACAATTGAAGCAGCTAAAATCATCTCAAGAGTTTTTCCGTTGTAAACAGTGTTTGCCTAATGCCTACAAGAATGGATAATCTTCACTTGTATACGCCAACTGGTCTTGAAGGGTTTGATGATGCTAAATCTGTAAATGGAGGAAATTGTAGTTTTACTGTTGAAGTATGAAGAAGTATGGCTTTAAAATCTCTTATATAGAAGTTATGTGTAGCGAGGTAGGTTTAGCGACGTTCTCTTAATTTTATCTAGTCGATCGAATATTCTTCTTTTGATTTGTAAAATATTTGATTGCACAAAAGTAGGGATTGTTTTGCTAAACATTAATTAGTTGGATAAATTTGTTTGCCAATCACGGCTTGATAGGGATATTTTAAAACACATCCATATATGCCAATTACTTTAAACCGACGACGTACATCGTGAATGTTGTTTTGGAAAGTATATCGGTTTTAATTTTTTTTTAATATTGTGCTTAATACTTTTTGTGAGGTAATAAACCGGATCCTAATTTATATTGACATTTTTTTGAAATAGAGATAACTGGGATGTGCCTTTAAAAAGGTTGAGAAAATTTGTATAGGAATTTGTTGGTCTTTCTTTTGCCATTGTAGTATCAAATCGAATGTTGTCATTTGGTGTGGTTTTTTTCATACCATGAATTCCTAAAATTCTTGATGGGATATACGTATATGTTGGTTAAAAATATATATTTATGTATATTAATATAAAGATGTACATGTATGTATGCACAATAATATGTACGTGCGGATATTAACTTTAAACCGACGAAGACATTTATGTATATTAATATAAAGATGTTGTTTTGGAAAGTATATTGGTGTACTTTATATTGACGCTTCAATATCTTAATTTAGGGGATTTCGTTTACATACGTATTTAAACTATCCAAATGAAATTTCCAGGTTTTTTTTTAACCCGACCGAAAGTAGTTTTGTACTCAAGATCATTTAAATAATTTCCAAGTTTTATTGGTTACCATCTATATAGATATCCTCTATAAATTAATACTCGACAAATTAGTAGCTATCCCTTAGGTTACCATTGTTTCATAGATGGGTCTTGGAAGGCCACATATATATATGCAGGTTTGGGCTGGTTTTGTCAGCATTCGCAGGACTCCTCTACGACGATGGGAGCTTCCAACCTTCGCCGAAGTCTTTCTCCTCTTCATTCCGAAGTTGAAGCTCTGGTGTGGGTGATGAGATGCATGATTGGCCATAACTTCAGAGATGTTATTTTTCTTACGGACTGCTCAGACCTAGTGAAGATGGTGTCTTCCCCTAAAGAGTGGCCGGCTTTCTCTGTCTACCTGGATGATATCAACATTGATAGGGAAGAATTTTCATCCTTTTCTTTGTCTCTTATTCCTAGAAGTTTGAATGTAAAAGCGGATTGCTTGGCACGCAAAGCTCGTTCCAAACCGCATATTATCAAGTATGTAAACAATTGTCCGTCGAATTGGCTCAGTTGAGTCAGTTTTAAGGTTATTTGATGACAAAAAAAAAACTAGTAGCTATCCCAAATTATTTTTTTTGGTTCAATGTATATATCAGTTAAATAATTAATGCAGCGAAGATACAAGATTCGAAAATGATTTTTTTCTTGGCCGGCGAGACTTGATGCAGCACATAATAAGAATAAATTTAAATTAGTGAAAATTTTTCCTAATTATTCGTTGCATGTATCAGGTCTCGCCGACAAAGAAAAGATTCATCCTCAAACTTTGTATCTTTGCTTCATCATTAATAAAATATCATAGTCTAGATGTTATTAGTTATTACGATATTTCTAGATGCTCACTTTTTGTATGAACGGAGTTGGTTAAAAGCAAAAGACTAACTGAGATTTCACGGATGACGCCTTTAACTGAGTCATTAACCTGTAGCATAGTGTGCTTCATGATCTATTTCACCTGTAGCATTTATGAGAAGATCTTGCATGGTCCGATTAAACAAAACATATATTTATACTCTTAAGTATATATCAACAATATAAAACACATAGAGTTTTGAGTATACCTAGATCTTTGACAGCATGATTACAAAACATTATTAATCTCAAATAATTATTTGATGCGGCTATATCATACACAAACATATATATATATATATATATATATATATATATATATATATACTGAGCTTATGAATACCCTAGTCTTATAATGTTTAAACATGTTGACTATGTAAGTGGGATTTTAGGAAACCCAATTCTATTTGTAATATGATCAGGTCAACATATTATTCATACAAAAGACTATAATTACTTAATTACTTAATTACTTAAATGGTGTAGTACTTATCTTAATCTTTCTAATCTAAATATATATCTCAGAATAGCATATTTCTATAGACATCTTAGTTCGCATTGTTTTTGCAAGGAATTCTCATTTTTTATTTATATGTGGTAAATTTTGGATATAATTAACAACCGACAAATGAAAAATTGTATATGAAAATAAACCCTACTAATTAATATCGAAGGAGAATGTGAAAAATTAATAAAATCATATATCAAAACAAAGAGTGTATAGAAAAAAATTAATACTCTAAAATTAAAACCATTCAAATATTTATTTATTTTTTGTATTTTTTATGGCATGACAACAAAGATTAATATGGTATTTTAATGTTAGTATTTTTCTGGGCTAAAGAAAAAACATTTAGACTAATTCACCTATACTAGTATACAATAAATTTCATTTTTTTAATTTAAAACCAAGTTTAAAGTTTATTTGGATATACATATATGCAAAATTAGTATATGTAACCTTTTCTTTTAGTTTTACTAGTTGGTTAATATTATGACACGTGTCACACAATCTACTCGACAAAATTAATAAGTACATTGATCATGTTAATGACTAAACTTTAAGAAACCAAGCTAACTCTTTGTAAGTAAAATTACAACCATTTG